GGTGTTGGTCTTATTTTCAGGGAAGCACAGTACAAGGACAGGACATTGGGTAAAGAGAGTCTCTTTTCACCCCAAAAGTCGAGCCGCTTCTCTCATTTGCTTCCAGTGGGAGCAAAAGAAGGGGAAACTGTTTTTTTTTCTCCCAACAAGAAATTGCATGCAAACCCATTTTGATTCTTCACGTCACAAAACACGATACAAATAACAAAACAACCCCCAGATTTTTCAACAGAGAAATATGAAATTATATCGCCCTGCAAAAAAAAAAAAAAAAAGAGAATAAAGACATTCCCCGACTTACAACCGTGACTCTTTGAACATAAAACGGCACTGCAACGGCATTGTTGGGGGCAATATGCTGACTCTCTGTAAACCGCTTAGAGAGGCCTGAAAGGCCTATGAAGCGGTATATAAGTCTACTGCTATTGCTATTATTGCTATTGCTATTATAGGTAAGAAAACTGGTCATGTCACTTTTTTCAGTGCCATTGTAACTGAACAATCACTAAATGAACTGTTGTAAGTTGAGCTCTACCTGTAAAGGAGTAAAACAGCCACGGCAGATTAAGATGAAAGACCTTCATAACAAAGTGTCATAATTAATCATAATAAATTTAGGGAGTAGACAAAGGAATTGTTGAAAATTGAAGCAGAGTGACCCAGTTAATAAAGTCAATCACAGAAGAATTGGGTCATGCATCCCCTGGTATTAAAAAAAAATCTGACGGTGGGAGCTGCTTAACCTATTTGAAACAAAAGACATCAGGAAGATGAATCAGTTCTTCTGATTTCAAGAATAAAAGAAAAAAAATCAGGAGAAAAAGAATTTGAAATGAATGGGAAAAGGCTAAATAAGAACTTGAACCAAGAAAATTATAAATGAATTAAGGATCGAGCAAAGTTGGAATATTGAAACTTACTACAAGATTTTGGAACTAACTTTATAAACTAAACAGATTTTGTAGATATCGAGTTATTTCATCTGCTGTAGGTCATAACAGATTACATACTTTATGATTTAAATTGAAAAATATACTGAAGTAAAGATTCCAGGCAAAAAGAAAAAAAAGAACCTTTGCATTTGGTTTTGATTACCAGTAGAAGATTGGGATTTCTGAAGTGACACAAAATACATTTGAAATATTAAGGAACTCTTTGAAGAATGGGACCAGAAATGAATAGCAACAATATCAACAACATTAATACATTATATTATACAGTAACAATAATATATTGGCAACAATGTCTGTTTCTATGGATAAACTGTGTTTAAAGAATATTAAGGAATGTGGAATAAATCTTGCTTGATGCAGGAATATGGAATCAGAAATATTGGATTTAAAAAGTGGCTTATAAGATAGAGAAGGTGAAATACAAATGACAGCCAAAAAAATGAAAAGGGAAATGCAAATGGTATACCAAAAAATTGGCTTGACTGATTACTGGTAATATCTTTTTACTGAATATACAAAAGAGGCTTAATGATTGAATTTAGGATGGACTCAAAAAAGTCATGTATTTTGGGCACTTGGCAACTGGCTTGCATTTACAACTGGTTTCAGCATCCTGTAGTCATGTAATCAGATTTTGTGACTTTTTTGCCGTTTTCTAGCAAAAAGTGCCTATTGGATAAATTGGATTAAGATTTGCAGCTACATGATATGCTTAATGACAATGGTGATTTATCTAACGGCTTTTGTACACATGTTGATTTGATTTAACAACTGCAATGACTTGCAACCAAAGTTCTGAGGTCAATTGTGGCTATACGTTGAGGACTACCTCTGTCTCTGTGTGTATGTTTCTTTATTTCATTTTTTTCATTTTTTTTTCTTTGCACTTTTTGCTCTTTTTACTTTATGACTTTAGTTTGTATTAGTTGTGTAATTACAAATTTCAATAAAAATTACATTTGTGTTTGCTGATCTATAAATGAAAATTCTTATATGTTGGTATTTCCTCAGGGTACCAGTGTGCTCTTTCTCTTAATCACACACTATGCTTTCATATGACTGGCACATAATTACCACACCCTTTGAATGCATTAGACAAATTCTTGTAAGCTGCTTCACTTGGAAGATGATCTTCCTAACATTTGTGATCTCAAGTGGAACTGGGGAACTAGGAGCCTTCTCAATGAGTAAAGAAATAGTGTTTCTATGTCTTTACTTCTTCCTTGTGCTTAAGGGCATTTTCAAATTTTACAAGGGGTAGGAGATAGAGCAAGCAGGGTTTTTATTTCTATTCCCCACTCATCCCATGGGATATGTTTGGTACAAATTTGATGTGTACAAACATTGTAGAATTTCCCCCAGAATGTACTCCAGAGGAGCAGAAGGGTGATACCTTATTTGTCTCCCATAACTCAATCTTCCATAAGCAAGTGGATCACAGAACAACAACTGGCAGACATCATAGTTTCATTTTAAATCAGCAACAACCTTCAAAGCTCTGGCAATGGGTTTTCATATGTAGATATTCATAGGGTAGCAATCTGGATTTGGTTGGCTAAGGGTAAAAGTGTACTTTTCAATAGTAAGAAAACAATTAGGAAATCAGCAAGTCGAACTATTTTCCTATATTCTGTGTGGATTTTTTAAAAAATCATGTAATAGCAAGTTTTTGCTTGTATGTGTGCAGTTTCTCTGAAAAAAAATTAATTTCTCGAAGTTGGAGAACTGAAGAGCTTTGGTTTATTTCACTAGATTCAAATGTCAAGATTCTTTCTGATTATAAGAGGTGGAATTAATCTTATCACTTTGTGCCCATCTTTTGTTGACAAGAATGATACCTTAAGTCAAAGTAAAATAAAGTTTTTTAAAGTCATCCTATGTTGTCAACAACTTAATCTGGCACATACAGATAGTCTTTAATTTACAACAGTTCATTTAGTGACCAAAGTTACAAGAGCCAAGGTGGCGCAGTGGTTAAAAGCAGCACTGCAGGCTACTGCTAGATCAGCAGGTCAGCGGTTCAAATCTCACCGGCTCAGGGTTGACTCAGCCTTCCATCCTTCCGAGGTGGGTAAAATGAGGACCCAGATTGTTGGGGGCAATATGCTGACTCTCTGTAAACCGCTTAGAGAGACCTGAAAGGCCTATGAAGCGGTATATAAGTCTACTGCTATTACAATGGCATTGAAAAAAGTGACATCACTATTTTTCACACTTATGACTGTTGTAGCATCACCATGGTCTTGTGATAAAAATTCAGGTGCTTGGCAACTGACTCATATTTATGACAGTTGCAGTGTCCTGGGGTCATGTAATCACCTTTTGTGACCTTCTGACAAGCATAGTCTGTTGGAAGATTCAACTAACAACCATGTTACTAAACTAACAATTGTATTGATTCACTTAACTGTGGCAAGAAAGGTCATAAAATGGGGCAAAATTCATATAACAAATATTTTACTTTACAACAGAAATTTTGGCCTCAATTGTGGTTGCAAGTTAAGGACTACCAGTATCTTCCATAGATCTTTGTTCACTTGTGCTGTTTACATAGTGGATTGGCAGTGTGAAACTAGAGTTTGAGTTTACATATTTCTGATTAACAGTGTGTATATGTTGCTTATTTTAAGAACACCTAGACCTGTTCTTGTTGAACCTATGGAACAATTTGATGACGAAGATGGTTTGCCTGAGAAATTAATGCAAAAAACACAACAGTATCATAAGTAAGTACCAACTCCTAAAACAGAATATTATAAATGAAAGAAGTAATGAAGAAATAGCATCGTAATCAAAATTTTCATTAAAACAAATCCTGCACAGTGTACCATGATAAAACTAGAGTTTAAAATTATTTTAAGTGGATTGGTTGTATATTACATAAGAAACAGAAAAGGGCATATCATGATTGAAAAATTATACTTGTGTCATAATAGCAATAGCACTTAGACTTATATACCGCTTTACAGTGCTTTACATCCCTCTTTAAGCGGTTTACAGAATCATCATATTTCCCCCAACAATCTGGGTCCTCATTTTACCCACCTCGGAAGGATGGAAGGCTGAGTCAACCTTAAGCCTTGTGGGATTTGCAGTACTGCACTCTAACCACTGCACCATCAAGACAATGAAACAAATAGAGTTTAGATCTGTTTTCTATGCTATAAATTTGTAGCACACATTGCCATTTCATAGGGTAGAAGCAAAATAAATAAGTTCAGAATGTGGAAGTTATTAGCAAGACGAAAAACATTTTTCTATGCTAGCTGCTGTTCAAAAATAAAGCACACAGCAAAGTAAATTTTCTGTAATCTTGCCTGCCATATCAATATTTCATACCAGTAGTACCAGTTGAGCTCATTAGGGATTATTTCTTTGGTGTAGCAGATAGTAGGCATGGTTGATCTTTCTTTATGCTTCCAGGCTTGCTTATTTGAAGAGCTGAGAAGAAGAAAAATGTCTATGCTGCTAGTAGAATAAAGATTTTGCATACTTCCAACCTTCCACTTTAAATTTTACACATTACTCCAGTCTTGTTTTTTTCTTTGTACTTAAGTAGACAGGCTTTAGTTTTTTTGTCACTAAATTAGCCATAGGCCACAAAATCAGTAATAGCGTTATTTAAGAATCCATACAGAAGCCTTGAAGAAATGAATTCAAAATTTGCAAACAAATTTGCTGTTATATTTATGTGAAATGACAGCATTAAGGTGAAATGTGTCTTCCTTTAGGGAAAGAGAACAGCCCCCACGTTTTGCCCAACCTGGAACATTTGAATTTGAATATGCTTCACGATGGAAAGCTCTTGATGAAATGGAAAAACAACAGCGGGAACAAGTTGATAGAAATATTAGAGAAGCTAAGGAAAAGCTAGAAGCAGAAATGGAAGCAGCTCGACATGAGCATCAGTTAATGTTGATGAGACAAGGTATCCTTCCTAAATAATTGCTTTAATTATGTGGGCTGAAGAATATTGGAAATAGTCTGATTATTTGGGTTAATGCATTCCAATACAATTCAAAATAATTTATGCATGTATTGAAGGACTTGTGACTCATGGACTGTATATTTGAAATACAAATATCTGGCCCTTGATGGTGACCTAAATAAGATAAACTCTTTCTCAAACACATTCAATGTATGAGATTTTGCTGATTTCCTGAACATAACTTGTTTTTCTTTGTAGAGGAAGAATGTATAAGTGAGATTTCTCCAAAACCTACTTCATTTGGTTATTTGACTCAGTAAGATAGAGCACTGGAGATGTATTAAGTACAGAACTCCTAATATACTGTGATTTTTGTATGATGCAAACAAAATTGACTTCCTGGTCAAATAAGGAAAAGCCAGAATTCCCTGCAGTTGACTGTAATTAAATTGTTTGTTAGTTGATCATACAACAATTTTTGAGATTACTCTAATTCTAACTGTCGTATTTCTTAAAGTTGGATATTAACATTTGAAATAATGTATGATGTATAATAAATGAAGTAGTTGCTGTGCAAAAAAAATAAAATTTGAGTTGTAACTGTGTAGCAACTCAGAGTTCTCCATCTGCAGTCAATAGATGAGCTCATCTATTTAAAAAAAATAACTACTTATTGTGTTAGAGATAACAAATTACAGTCTTTAGCACCTTTCTTTTCACATTTTTGTCTCTGGCTGAAAAAGCTCAGGTACATTGCAGTTTGCTTAAAGGCAGAGCTTGGTTTAGTGTTCAGTAGTTTCTGCACCTTGGTGTAGCAATTGGGCCCTAGAAAATATGTCCAAAACCTGAGAAAAATCTTCAACTTAAGATTAATTAATTATTAATTTAATTATTAAAATACATTGTTTCTAGATCTTTAAATTGTTCTTACTGATACCTGTTTGAAGAGCTCAAGTTATTTATGTCTGTTTTCATATGTTCATGCTTATTTTAGTGAGGACAATGTATACTACTTACAGGTAGCCCTCAACTTACAACCACAATTGAGCCCAAATTTCTGTTGTTAATTGAGACATTTGTTAAATGAATTTTGCCCCATTTTATGACTTTGCCTCAGCTGTTAAGTAAAACACTGCAGTTGATAAATTAATAACCTGCTTGTTTAGTGAATCTGGTTTCCACATTTACTTTGTTGTCAGAAGGTCACAAAAGGTGATTACATGACTTTGGAACACAGCAATGTTCATAAATATGAACCACTTGCCAAGCATCTGAATCATGATCATGGAGATACTGCAAAGGTTATAACTAAAAAACAATAAGTCACTTTTTTCAGTGCTGTTTTAACTTTCTACAGTTACTAAATGAACTGTTGTAAGTTGAGGACTACCTGTATTTGTGTCAGAACAATCATTGCTATAGCTGTCTTAACTTTTTCCAGATCTTATGAGGCGTCAGGAAGAACTGAGACGTTTAGAAGAACTTCGAAACCAAGAGCTACAGAAAAGAAAGCAGATACAATTAAGGTATTACATAAATTTTTAAATACTGGATTTTGCAGCTCAACATGTAACTTTTTAAACTTCACAGTTTTAACAGCGCCTCTGAATTCTTCTATGAAAAACTTTAGAGGATAATATCTCCATTTTCAATTAACTAAATGAATTGATGATACGCTGCCAATAAAAACTTTTTAAATTGGACTTCTGGGTAAGAAATGGCAGATTAAATGATGAGACTTTAAGGGTATGTTTCTAGATAAGACATGGAAGACGAAATAATTTTGCATTTTAAGAGAAATTGATGTTACTAAAATTGTTTATGCTTGTGATAAAGGAGGAAGTAATTTGTTTATATATTGCTTTTCCTTTACTATATTTTTTCTTTTAATCTTTTCTTTCCTTCACTTAGTTTTTCTTTTTCCTTTATTTCTTAGTTCATAAATTTTTATAGTTGCAGTAATTTTTCAAAATTATATGTGTGTGTGAGTGTATACATGCAGAAAGACACACACCTTTTATCTTTAATATAAAGTCACAAATCTTGAGATGGACTTATAAATATTGATAAAAATAAGTAGTGATAATTCTACTTGTAGTATTTTAGAATACTACAGAATAAGTTTTTTATTGCACTCTTATTGTGATACACATCAAGGAAATGGAGACACTACATAGGATCTTTAAGATATGTACTAAAGGTCACTTAAGTCTGTCCCTGATGTAGGACATGTCAGACTATAGTGAAAAATCAAACTAAAAATAACAACTAGTAAGGCTGAACATGTGCGGCATTGTAAGAGAAAGTATTGCGTGAAAATATGCAGCAGGAACTTTAGGAAATCATATTTTATATGTAATGGCTAGGCATGAAGAAGAGCATAGGAGACGTGAAGAAGAAATGCTGCGTCAGAGAGAACAGGAGGAACTGAGGAGACAGCAAGAAGGTTTCAAGTCGAATTTCATGGATACTGTAAGTAGAACTCTTTATATTAATTGATGTGATTTGGAGAAAGGACTTTTGTTATTCCCGGCTGTTAAATTTGACAATTTGTCTTGGCAGTTTTGATTTTTTGCACAGTCATTTGCATATTATTTGTTTCAGTGTATTACAACAATATTATTACACATATGACTTATATTAATTAGATGGTCTCATTTGCCTAATGATGCCATTGTTTAAATAACAAATCATTCTGGAAATTTACTCCATAGTTTCGTTTGAAGACATTTTACAATAGAAACATATCAGGATTTCCTATTTGTATGAAATAACAATAGAAAATTAACAAAGCCAAACTTTTATCCACTCCATTTTCCTCTATTGATTATGGTGGATTGAATGCCCTTTCTCCACCATAGGGGGGGGGGGAACCACCCTCATGTAATTCCAATATTCCATTTTCCAATGGCTAAGATGGCCATTCTCTGGTGGGACATATAGGTAGTTTTGACCTAGGACCACAACTGAGACCAGAATTTCCATTGCTAATTAAGATGGCTGTTGTGGCTTAGTTTACAACCTTTTTTGCCACATTTGTTTAGCGAATCACTGCAGTTCTTAAGCAATTCATGCAGTCATTATGCAAATCTGAGTTCTCCCATTGATTTGTCAGAACCTGTGGGGAAGGCCATAAATAGTGGTCACATGACTCCAGGATGCTGCAACCTATAAATATATGCTGGTTGCTAAATACTCAGATTTTGATTGCATGATTGGGGACGTTGCAATGTTTATAAATGCAAGGACTGGTTGTAAGTCATTCTTTTCAGTGCCATTGTAACTTTGAATGGTCACTAGACAAATGATTATAAGTTGAGGACTACTTGTACCCCAGCAGTTCAGAGTGGGAAAAGAAATGTATAATTAACAGGAAGGAACCACCTGTTCAAGAAACTGCCTGCTTAAAATATTCCTGGCTGAGCTATCAGTGAGTCTTTAAATGTATAAAAAGAAAATACATGCCAGGTGACCAATGTTTCCAGCAGCCATCTACCTGAAGTAACATCTATCAGGTATGTTTTCATAAATGTTTAATGAAAACCAGATATGTAAGAGGTTAATCAGAACCAGGTGTGGTTTCTAAAGTGATCTTTTTATTGTGGGTGTTTTTGCAGAGAAATTCCTTAGAGAAATTTATAGAAGATATATGCATTGGAAGTGTATTGCTCCACCAGATTCTGTCCAGAATAGTGGAAATTGCAAGTACTAGGGTGGAGGCTGTAATTGAGACGACTGGAGAAACATTGAGGAACAGAAATTTGTTTAAGGGAAAGCCTTTTCCTCTTGCACCAGCAATACAAAGATTCAAAATTAGCTCATATCTGTACATTGTAAATCTCCGTGAAATAAATGATTTCCTAGTACTCTGACTCCAGGTACCTCTGGTATTTGACTGCTAGGTACTTAACGGCTTCAAAACTTGCTGGATTTGGTACTTGATGCATTTTAATGTGAAAATGTTGTCCCGATACTCGTCGTTTTTTGGTACTTGATGCACTGCAATAGGAAGAGGGCGATGGCCAAGGAGAACAGACATGATGCCGCCCATGCCAGTAAGGTTGCTGCAAAAGGATGGAGGGGACAGTCTCCAAGGGTGAATAGGAAGTTGGCCCTGCTGGGAAGATCACTGACATAGGAAAAGGGACAGACAGAAAGTCTTTCCCAGCCAAAACAAAGGGTCACATGATAAGTCGTGGTTTGTTTGGTACTCATCATTTTAATACTCCTTGCACCTCTTGGAACCAATTAACGACGAGTACCGAGATACCACTGTATAACCAATATTAGCTATGTGACTGCTTAATGTCCAGGAATTACATTGAAAATTGATCAGATCCGTACTCTACACAGCTGTGCAGCTACAGTAGCTGTGTAAATGGTTATGGTTATTTTTGGTATAATAGGTGGAGTCTATTAGAACTACAGTCTGAACCATCTAAGTAATTAACATATCAGTTGTTTATGCTCTGAGGGGAACATTGACGAAAACAATATTAGAGACTTGAATTTTGGTTCTTATGCAGTAATGAAATGTTTAAAAGGAACATAGCATGAAGAATCTCTTTCACCTACAAAAACTTTATTAATTACAGATGCTTACAAACGTACGATACAAAACTTCATTGTAGCAAATGAGGTTTGAAGAAGAGAGGAGAGCTGGAAAAACGTATTTGGCAGACTTGTACAATTTTTCCTTTTATCTTTCATCAGCCATGTTCTGCAGAATTCCCTGATGTGTCACCTCAGCTATCCTTTAGTTGATCTCACATATTGCTGGTCAGATGTGACTTGCTGGGTTAACTTTATCTGTGGTGATTGTCCTCTGGTCTTTGGTTTCAGAGTGCTATCCTTGAAGGGTATCTGGAAGCTTCAGTTGGTGCAGAATATGGCTGCACGGACAATTATATGTGCCTCTTGGATGGCACACATTACACCTCTGTTCTGTGAGCTGCATTGATTGCCAGTTTGCTTCTGGGTGCCGTCCAGGGTATTGTTTTGACCTTTAAACCCCTTTATGGCATGGGACCAGGTTATTTGGGGGACCGTCGCTTTCCAATTACATCTTCCCGTCCCATCTAGAAAAGGGATAATCTAGGTCAGTGGTTCCCAAAGTGGGTGGTATTGCCCCCTGGGGGCGCTAAGAGGCAAGGGGGGGGGGCGCTAAGAGGCAAGGAAAGTGGCAGAGGAGTGCTGGAGGTGTCCCCCTCACAGGGCACAATTCTGCCTAGGGCTCTGTTGAGACACTTCTTGGATGAGAAGCAAAACATCTTCAAAGAAAAACCAGAAAGTCCAGTTTCCTCTTGAAAAGGCACCTTTGGGGCAACCATGACCTGGATGACTGAGAATCTCCCTGTAGACATCATGCTCCAGAATCCTTGCTTTGCTGAAAAGTAAAGAGCAACATCCTGGTTTATTTACACAGAGAAGGCAGGCAGGGAGTTGGTAGGATTTATTTATTCACTTAGCAAAGCCTTAAGCCAGATGTGAACAAACATATATTGTAAGTATTCTGATTTTCAGAGCAGAAATGGCAGAAGCAATTAATTGTTACAGTTTTGAATTTTACTGTTACTATTTTCCTTCTATCATGCAAACTGCCCAATCACATGACCCCCCCAGCCAGATGTGAACAAACATATATTGTAAATATTCTGATTTTCAGAGAAATGGCAGAAGCAATTAATTGTTACAGTTTTGAATTTTACTGTTACTATTTTCCTTCTATCATGCAAACTGCCCAATCACATGACCCCCCCAAGCCACGCCCACAGAACCGGTAGTAAAAAAATGAAATTCTTCCACTGGGTGGGGGCACTGAGGATCAGTTTGTAGCACCAAGGGGACGGTGGACTGAAAAAGTTTGGGAACCATTGATCTAGGTGCTATCTCTTAAGGATTTCCATCTGATGGGACCCAAGGGTCGTGCTGTTTCTGCTATAGTCCTTACTCTCTAGAACAGTGTTTTTCAACCACTGTGCCGTGGCACACCAGTGTGCCGTGACATAGTGTAAGGTGTGCCGTGGGAGAATTACTTTACATATAGTCAATATAGGCACAGAGTTAATTTTTTTTTAACATTTTCTAATGGTGGTGTGCCTCGTGATTTTTTTCATGAAAAAAGTGTGCCTTTGCACAAAAAAGGTTGAAAAACACTGCTCTAGAACAGCATTCTCCCTAAAGTGAGGTTAGCTCCATCTCTGTTAGCTCTCTGAAAAAGCCTTGAAAAATGTGCTCTGGGGATTCTACAGTGAGCCTTAAAAATGAACGAGGCTAAATGATGATTGTCCTCCCAGTATCTTAGTTTTTTCCCCTTTGTTTTTATTTTTGTTACTTACGTCTGATGTTTTTTACATTATGATATAGTCTTAATTGTTATTTTGCTTGTAAGCTTGTAAGCTATATGCAGACTCACTTTTTTGCATAATGGGCAGCTGTATAAAAGGGCTGGCTAAATAAATGAATTCCATAAATGATTATAGAAATCCTTATTCCAACTACCCAGCCAATTAAATCAGTTCCATGAACTATCTTTAGTTTTGTAATTTCTCAATCTAAAGCTTGTCTATTTTGTATGGTCATGTGTCAAATTGCAGCTACTTTGTTTAGAGTTTTGAGAATATTTGCAACTTCTTCTAATATAAAACTGCTTTTTCGTACTTCTTTAATTGTTCATGCTATCCCATAGTTTGGAAACATTGTGAAAAGTTTTTTTTAAAGTTATTGTTCCTTAACTTCATGCATTAGTAACTGGATTTTGTATCTCTTGAGCAGGGAAAATACTGCCAATATAATCATTCTTTTTACGTCATTTGTCAAATGTTAATGTGTCTTCATTCCTCATAAAAATATTCTACTAGAGTAACTACACCAATGAACTTTTTTCCTTTTTTAATTTAACTTAGTTTGCATGCACTAGTTCTTACTAATGTAGAATCATTACATAATAAACTAGGATTTTTTTTGGTTTTAGGTTCATAATACATACTCAGAGACATTCCCTCATTACTTGCTATATGTTTGTTTTGGCCGTTGTCATAGCAAAGATCACAACATGTCTATATTATATGACTGAGAGCTCATTTGAAGATAAATATTTTGTTGCAAACTACTTTGTGAAAATAGATATTGAAAAGCAACTTTATTCTTTTTGTTTTTATTCTGTTAATTTTCTATGCATTCCAAAAAATTAATTTTATATATATAGAAACACAAATCTATTGAAAAACAACCAACATTAACCAAGTGGTCCATTACCAAAGTAACAATCCAGCCTTCCATAAGGGATGTGGTGTAAGAACATTATTCAGTCAAACACAACCCAAAACAACAAAAAGAGGAAACGGAACACCCATGCAACATCGTCGAATATTGAAGATTTATCAGGAAGCATCTGACCATTCATTCCACTATAGCAAAACCAAACCAAGCTAAGAAAAGGCTAACATTACCTTACATCAAAAACTATCAAT